GACAATGTTGTATCGTGGTGGGGGGGTAAGTCCATCATTACTTTCTTTGGTTCCCGGCTAACATTTTTGATTAGTTACACTCACTGCAATACCCAACCTTAGCTCGTGTTGCGCGTGATTACCTTCCCATTCAAGGCAGTGCTGTCCCATCTGAACGCGCTTTCTCCAGCGGGGGGATCACATCGACTTTGCGCCGCAATGCACTCGCGTCATCCACCTTCTCTGCACTGCAAGTGTTGAAGGCAGCCTATCATAATGGACACTTGTCAGCAGCAGTTGAGGCAGAGGGGCATGCAGCTAGTATTATGTAGTTAGGCTAGGTAGTTGATGTCTTGTAGATGTAATACCAATGTTTTTTTTCGTGCACCCAAAACTTATGGTTCGGTTCGAGTTCGAACCGGAAAAAAACCGAACCGGACCGCAAAGAACAGTTCTTGAAGGTCCGGTTCTGGGTTCAACGATTTTGCAGAACCAGACCATGGTTCGGTTCTCGGTTCTCGTCAAGGACCCCCTGAACCGGACTGAACCGGACCACGGCAGCACTAGGTCGCGGGTCGAGGCATTTGTATTGTTAGATTATAGCATATATCACCCAAATACAACTGATTTTATTGTACCATTTGAACTGACCCAAAATATAGTGAAATATGATATCAATATTCTTAACATACCCTACAAGATGCGAGATGATCCGAACAGATGCGAAATATTGTATTAGTCTCCACAGCGAGTCTCCTGTTGTGCAATATGGTGCATCTATATTCATCATATTTCGCTCGATCTCAACTGTTTTGGCCATAGGTAGATTCTACTGGGATTCAACCATGATATACTATCACCTTGAAGTCCAGACACACTACGAGAATAAGGATTATGTGCAGGATGCTCATATTCCCTACCAACAGCGCGCCACACAGCAATCCAATTCATCCCAATCAAAACATCACAATCAAAGACTGCGCACGACCTCAAACTCAATGTTGGTCGTGAGTGCACAGCCATCGTAGGAAGCCATGAGAATCTCAGAGAACCGAGAACCCGGTGCTGGCGCTGAATGACCGAGCTCATGAGCAACTGGAATAGATGCAAGACAATAACTCGAATCAGTATCAAAAACGACAGAGACAGGGAAGCGGCCAATGAACGAGGTCATGATGGTGAGAGCGCAAAAGGGGTGTAAGCATGAACTCGACAGCGATGCGATGATCGAGCAGGCGAGAGCTAAAGGTGGTGTAAACCGATCGATCAACACAGCCTCATTACCATCTAAGGCAACAGTTGCCATCTAAAGCAAAAAAAAGAGGGGCGACGAAATCATGAAATCTACCGCCAAAACGTGAAAAATCAGGAACTATAAGACCCACTCCCTAAAGGTAGCGGGAATATATATAGTAGTACGTACTAGACCAGAATTCATCACAAATGGTGTTCAAAGTAAATTTCACAGAGCTCGCTAAGCTCGGTAAAGCTCGGTAAACGTCAGTTAAATCGGTCTGAAAAATGTTAACACAAGTACGGCTCCGTTCGGCATCACGGTCGGACTTTGAAGAGAGACTTAGTGTTTGGGAAGGTGAAGAGGCACAGATGCGCAGATGGATTACTGTACTAAGTACAAAATAAGCTACATACAAACTATCATAGTGACCATTTCAGAGAGGATCGTAAGCCTGCGAACGTTCGTCTCTCATGACGAAATGCGAATTGTAAGACTGGACTGAGGGGCAGTGGTACTAGTCGTGCAGATCGAGACTGAAAATGTAAGCTGAAAATGTGATGACGACGGTGAACACTTGTATCGCCGGGATCCATATATGAATGCACCTGAGTTGTGGCCTGCCCCGAGGGAGAGTAATTTGGAGGTAAGGGCAACATAGCAGGGAACTACAAGGTGAGGGTCAAATCAACTGCGAAGGCAACAGAAAGAAGAAACATACATCCAGCGGATCGCGAGGTTAGTGGTTCCAAATAGGACGGAGTGCATTCGTGCGGGAGGAGGAAGGGAGAAGTTTGCGAAGATAGTGAACGAAAGCGGGTCGCTGTGGGTCTTTTGTGAGTTTTGGCGGGATGCGGACAGGAACCTCAAATGATCTGCCTTTGTTTGAAATGGGTGAGCTGCATGGAGAGGAATAGACGTGAGAGCTGCAGTCGGACACAACTGGATTCGAGAGCGGCATGTTAGTTTGAGGACATTGACGATGGGCAGCACTATGAGATCCGTCCTCGACTCCCCTGGTGGACGGCAAAGGAACATGATGAGGGTGGTGTGAGAGATGCCAAACGGGCGCTAGAGTGTCGTCGTCATTGATGGTGCCGGTGCTGCACCAGAGTGCTTGTTACCACAAAAGGAAAATTTAAACTCCGACCCCATATTTGGATTTCATTCACACAGAGTGGTAAGCTGATCGATAAGGATCGATAAGCATATTCATATTGGTGTCTCCTGAACCTCATCATGCCCCGTCTTTCCCTACGCAACCAGCTGCTTGATGAACTGGATGAGGCAGAATTAGCCTTAACCATTTCCAAGTACAAGCATGCACTTCGTACTATGACCCTATCCGACTTTTCCGACTCTGATTCTGATTCTGACTTGGATATGGTCCTCACTCCTCCATCTCCTCTTACCCCACAATTATCTGACTATTCGGACTCGGACTCGGACTCAGACTCAGATGATGACAGCACCCATGTTGCTGCACATTACGACCGCCTTCATGACACTATCACTTCCCTTCGTGATGAGGTCTCAAGGGCATGTGTCCTTCAAAAGCCAGATGCACCTCCTATGCGGGCCCCTCAAATTCACCTCCTTCATGATTTTGGGACATCTCGCACTCATCTCTTCCGGAAGAAACTACGTGTCAATCCAGAGATCTTTGACGATATCCTTGATCACATCTCAGGTCACCCCATCTTCACTAATCAGTCCAATAACCCCCAGCTTCCAGTTGCTATTCAACTAGCCATTTTTCTCAACCGCGCTGGGCACTATGGCAATGCCATTTCCCCAGAAGATGTGGGTCAATGGGCAGGTGTTAGTGTGGGGTCAGTAATCAATTGCAGCAACCATGTCATGATTGCCCTCCTTGATCTGCATGACACATTCATCCAATTTCCTACTCCTGACTCCGAAGATGCTGAGCGTGCTCGGCAATTTGTTGAGGCTAGGTCCTGCCCTGAGTGGAGAAATGGTATTTTTGCAATTGATGGTTCTGCCATTAATTTGTATGAAAAACCTGGTCTTTATGGTGAGGCATTTTATGACAGGAAGTCTAACTATTCCCTCAACTGTCAGGTATTTTTTTTCTCTTATTCTAATGGTCAGAAATTAATAAAAAATTCAGGTAATCATTATGCCCCATAACCTCCTCATAGTTGATTATTCACTGGGTAACCCTGGCAGTACACATGATGCTTATGCCTTCAAATCCACTCGTGTTTATCAGGAGCATGACACTCTTCTTCCAGAGGACCATTGGATTTGGGCAGATAGTGCCTACCCACTTGAGAAGTGGTGCATTGCCCCTTTCAAGAAGCCACGTAATGGGAGGTTGACCAGGGACCAGAAATCCTTCAATATTAACCTCTCTCGGGTATTTCTAATTTTTTCACTGATTTTTGCAATTTTCACTGATTTTTTATTCATATAGGTCCGTGTTCATGTTGAACATGCATTTGCAGCTTTGAAAGGACGATTCCAGTCTCTCAAGGAACTTAGGCACCCACTTCAGAACCAGAAGGATCTTCAGGTCACTCTGCATTGGGTTAGGTGTTGCCTAATCCTTCATCATATGATCATCCGCTTCGAGGAGATTCGCAAGAAATCCACACTTGTATGGGCTGTTCGAGAGGGGAACAATACTATATGCCATGAGGATGAAGGACCAGATGGTGATGAAGTAGTGGGTGATAGGTCTTATGAAGGCACTCCAGGTCAAGCTCACAGGGCAAGGCTGATGGATTTGTTGTTTGATAGCCCTCATTCACAAGCACACCATCAGGCAGATTGAGCAAACAAGCAGAGTAACATTGTGTATAGCTAAACAAATGTACTACTAAATTTTACAACTAGTGATCAACTTGTGGCCATATGTGAGAACACTACATGCAAACATAACAAGACATATAACATCCAAGACATGTAAGAGTATAACGACGCGAGAACATAACAACAACGACACGAGAACACGACAACAACGACACGAGAATGTGATGATGACAACGACGACGCGAGAAGGTGATGATGATGACAACGATGCGAGAACATGATGATGATGATGGTGGCGCAAGAACGTGATGATGATGACAACATGAGAAGTCAGCTACCAGCAGGTTTGCCACCCTGGGCATTGAGCTGGGCCCACTGAATCCAGAGGTGTAGAACATCTGTTACAGTCACTACGAGAGCCCCCAGCTACTCGACCAGCCCTCTGCCACCCTGCACGGCAACGACACGATAACCGGGCCTTTAGGCCTTGATGATAGATGATGAATAGAAGAGAAGTCCGGAAGATGCCGGATTAGGTAAGCGATCTGGATCGCTTACATGATATGACGACATAGGTCTAGAAGACCTATATATGTTATCTAGATAGAAGGCAAGCCTCGTGTTGCCTCATGTACTGATAGAAGGACGCCTCGCGGTCCTTATCCTAGATAGAAGCCTGCCTCATGCATGGTATCTCTGACTCGATAGATAAGCAGATTAGAACCCAGCTTCAAGCTGAGCTTAGATACGATAGAGTAGCCTTATATAAGGTCGAGGATTAAAGTAGATGTTCCTTACTTTAATCCTACTGGGTTTTACCTCGAACTCCTTGTCTTGCTAAAGCTACCTGCTTGACATCAGATCCGTACCTTCAGAAGGACTTGAGACCCCTTCTGCCTGTAAACCGCTATCATCGTTCGCCTCCGCGAACGTACGCAACTCCTGCTCTTCTGTGGGAGCCGACCTCGGACTCTCAGCACGTGGTATCACTGTCGTGATCGTCGCTGTTAGATCATCCCAGTCCGCACGCGACACACGTCGTAACAACATCTGCTTCTGAGGCAAAAGCGGCAGCATCCGCTTCATGTAGGCGAATATCTACCTCTTTAGCCTCCTTCATGCGCTGATGGACTATGGCAGCATCTGCGTGCTCATCCATACGCTCCTCATGCATCAGACGATGCTCCTTGTCCTGGCGACTAGCATTGAGCTTCACCATAAGGCGCTCGTTCTTCAGCTGATATAAGGTTAGCTTGTCAGAGTGAATACTTTCCAGGTCGTCATTGAGTGCATCCATTTGCTCGCGAATCTCCGTCCGGAGACGTTTGGAGACTGAACTTGCTGGTGTCATCGAGACAGATGTTTGCGCTGTTGGGGAGGACTGTTGCAATGACGGCTCATGAGATGATGATGGCTTTCGAGAGTGCGACGACGAGCATGACCCTGATGATGCCATAGAGCCCAATTTACTCTTTTCACGCATCATCACCTGGCTAACATGTGACTTGAATGTAGCGCGATCATGCTGGACGGAAGTGCGGGGGGGCACCTGTTGCATATGAGAGGTAGTAGTAGGGGAGGGGGGGGAAGGGGGCTCCTGGCACTTCTTCCCAGCCCTGTGTCTTGGCGGGCTGTCCAGGCTGATAGTGTTGCTGTCATTGTGAGTAATTTCATCCGGGGAATCCATATTAAGATCCTCCATCTCACCCGCAAGAGGGTTGTCATCGTAGATACCGTCAAAATTATAATCATCAGTAGGGGAATGAGCGATGGGAGAGTAAGTACCGTCGTGAGATGTAGCACCGGAGGGAAGTGGTGGGTAACGAAAAACAGGGGACCTGGCAGAACTGTTGGTGTGAGTGCTTGGGGGCGGTGGCACATAGTTCCATTGCGAAGGGCTACCACCACTGCCTCCAGGAGCAGGGGGAGTATGACAAAAGGGGGAGGTAGGTGGTGCCGCGGCTGTGGCACCACCTGCATGAGCATTTGGAGGAAGGTAGTCATAAGTGGGTCCAGTTGACGACCCAGCAACGCCGCCAGCTGGAGCATTGGGGAGAGGCGTGTTGCCAAGTTGCATGGGAGAGCCGGTGTAGATGAGGAATCTTGACTAGACGTGAAAACACTTAAAACAAAAGGGTGCTCAACAGCAAGACCGGGATACGAGACAACGAGTCGACCCAAGGGACAACCACTGAGAGAAGTTCCTCGAAATAAAGTGGAGGGAAACTCTATGAGCTAGGCGGGCGCTAACAGGCGCGAGAAGATAATGCACGTGAAGGCACGCATACGCGAGGCAAAGGCGCGCGAGATGCGCGCGTGAGCGGGAGGTTCGAGAATGCGCACGCGTGAAGCGAAGGCGCGCCTTGAGCATTAAGGGAAAGGTCCTATTGAGGAGTGAATGCCCAGATGGATGATTGACAGGAGAATAAGATCTTATAACAAGTGAGGAGGTGATCTATACACTTTCCAGTACACAAAGATAAGGGGAAAGTAAGTACCAGAACCAAAGGAAACCCTTCTGTATGATAGCGCGAAGACCTATGAGGAGGCGCGCGAACGCGCATATAGCGCGTGCGTAGGTAAGGCGCGCCTAAGTGCGCGCGAGTTTGGATAAGGCGTGCACGAGTGCGCACGAGACTGGTACTTAGGAGTAGAGCTGTAACATATAGGAATGTATGGGTAAAGGCCGTATATTCGGCATTGAGACGCGTGAGTCTCTACATCTCCTGGGGACTTACATTCTGAGTGTCCCCACTCAGTGCTATAGCGCGGGATCTTGGACTTAGAGAGGTGGTGATAGACAGGGATCAGGTGATCGCGAGAGTAGGGCCATCCTCTGATGATCGCGAGCATCGATGATGTAATCGGAGGAGATGTTGATAAGAAGATGGACGCATTCTCGCGATCTCTTGACTTCTTTGTTATCAATCTTTCACCATGCCTACTTTCACTGTTGCTATGTTGAACTCTACTCCTTCCCCTGAGCCTGTTCCAGTGGCGCAAGGGCTTCCTGAGGACGTGCCTATGGGCGACACTAGCGCGGAATCCGATACCGACCGCCTCTTCACCGCTTGGGCCTCCATCCTAGTCTCCCTGGAAGGATGCGTGATGTCCGTGCCTGAACTCAAGCTGGAACTCCTCGAGGATCAAGAGATGTGGTTGCGCGAGTGGTATTCAGTACTGGTGAGTGCGCTTACATGTATTGGTCTTGGTTGTGGACTGACACTCCTAGGCTACTCTGAACGGTTGTTCTACGCGCGCGGGTGTGTTGGCGGTGGCGCTGGAGATGGACGACAAAAGCGCGGAGTTGTTAAAGCAGGGGCGGAAGAGTTGTAAGGAGATTGAGGCGGTCGTGAAGGATTGGAAGGCGAAGGCGATTGCGTCAGTTCCTCAGACGCCTCCCATGCAAGCTGCGCGCGCCACTGGCGCGTCCGAAATCGAGGCACGCGCCACTGACGCGTCTGGTACTGATGCCAGCAAGAAGGTGCGCCTTCTGTTTCCTGTTGGCGCGCCACTCTATTAACATGTTTGGTTGCGCTAGCTGCGCACCGGGCGCATGTCTGTGAACAAGGCGCGGCGCTGTGGCGCCTGCATTGCCAAGGACATTGACTGTGGAGGCGCGCCTGGTCGCCGGTGCCCTCCTTGCGATGTGTCCAAGCGCACTTGCACTTTCTGTAAGTCGCGCCTCTTGTCTTATTATTGGCGCGTGCCACTGACTGCTGTGGATTAGCTAAGCGCAACCTTACTGATGCGCCTAAGGCGCGCCCGCGCAAACCGATGCCCAAGTGCCCTATCGCAGAGTCTGCAAAGGAAACCGCTTCCTCTATTGCGGTTGAGGATGAAGAAGAATCCGAGGAGTCGGGGATGGATGTGGAGATTGTTGGAGAGCGCTCTGTGGAGGAGAAGGTCGTGCGCGCCTCGCGCGATATTCCTGTGCGTGCCGTTGGTCCTTTGGCGTCTGGTTCTGCGCCTAAGGGAAAGGACAAGTTCAAGGATCCAGCGGTGGAGTTGAAAGAGGCGCGCGCGGAATCCGCGCGTTTGAAGGAGGAAAATGCGCACTTGCGCACTTCCACTCTCCAGATGCGCCAGTATGCACGCGCCCAACAGGCGGATCTCCTCAACTATTCCAACAAGTTTTTCGCCATGTCCAACGTGTGGGCTGAATTGGAGAGGCAGATCAACGACTCCCTTAAGTAGATGCACCTCTCTTTTGTTTTTCTTGTCTCCTAGGCGCCAATGCGCCTGTGTACTCCTTCTGAGCGCCAATGTGCCTGTACAACATATCTTGTGTTGCCTTGTCCATGTCCATGTCCTTATCTGATTCACTGGGCTTAAGAAATTAAAATGAATAGTATGTAAGTAAATGACAAGCGCGCGACGAGATCAAGGTAATGCAATGGACTTTACTGATTTTCTGCGGGGTGCGCGCCCGTCTTGTCTTCTTTGTGCGCCTTCCATCATCTATTCCTGCCGTGTTGCGCCGTGCGCGCCGAGGTGATGACGCGTGCGCACTTGAATGAAAGTTAGAAAAAAAAGTGCGCAGCGCCGCACGCGCGTTAGAAAGTGAAAGTCTAATGAGGTGATTATGCGCGCGCTATACAATTAAGATAGTGATCAGTATGTACTTGCGGGGTATTAGCGTGTTTCTTGGTGCATTTGATATATTCTAGAGTCTGTGGGGTTTATGTGCAGGCAATGCGCGTTATATGAACAAATGATATGAGAGATATCACCGGACGAAACCTGGGGTAAAACTGAGAGTATGTACTTAATGAAATATTTTTGTGTTCTTCGTATTATCTGGTGTTTTTGTTTTTATGTTTTTGAGGGATGCACGTTCGCGCGAATATGATTGGGTGATGCGTGGGCGCGCGGAATATGGTCGCGCGCGCTAATCGTCTTGCGCGCGCTCGGGCTCATCTTCATCGGGTTCTACAGTTTCATATGCTTCTAGTTCGTCGATACTCTCGTCGTCTACTCCAGTCATTTGGGTTACCGATACGCGCTCCTCGCTATGCGGGTAGTAAGGAATGACGCGAAATGCGGCGAACCGAAGTTTTGATATTGCGCCGTCCAACTCAGCCAACATATATGAGCCTCCCTTCGTGCGACGCACTATGATCATAGGTCCCAAATAGCGTGGCTTCGTCTTCTTGCTCAGCTTGTATTCGACCTTCGAGTTGCATACCAATACTAAGGCGCTGGGTTCGAAGTCGTGCGATTTGATAGATGCATAGAAGCATCTCTCAAAATCGCGTATGGACTTGTAGCGCGCCGCGACTACTTTATCCCTAATCGCGTTAATATCCTCTACGCGCTTCTGCAATTGGCGCGCGCGCCATGCTATAAGGTCAGTGGTGGTGAACGCGCCTCAATTTGGTAAGGGCGCGAGGAACATCGCTTCTGCAAGATCAAAGGGAAATATTGGCTCGATGCCATGCATCATGAAATAGGGCGATAAACCCGTTGCTTTATGAATGGTGACGCGCTCGGCCCAGAAAACTGAATGAACTACCTGATACCAGCGAGAATCATCTCCGTCGCAGCTTTTAATGATGGCCTCCCGGACATCGTGGTGTCGTCTTTCGACTATACCGTTTGCCTGAGAATTATATGGCGAGATGCGGATCGGGTGAATCCTGTATTTGCGCGCAAGCTCGTCTACTGCGAGCCTATATGCGGGCGCGTTGTCCATCACTATCTCTGTGATCAGGCCCCACCTACACAAGAGCTCCTCAAAAATAAAAGCGGTTAGCGCGTTAGTATTCTCTTTGCGCAGCATGCGCCATTCCGGATACGACGTTAGCGCGCATCGCGCTTGCACGAGGTATTCATATCCGCCCGCTCTGGGCATCTTCATCGTGTCGATGTGCGCTTTGCGAAATAGACCTCCTGGTATGGGGACAATTGGAGGAATATGCAGCCTCCTCGTTTGGCGAACTTGGCATTCATGACACGTTTGTCCGTACCATTTGATGTCTTCGATGATGCGCGGCCACCAAAAGCGTAGCCGTAGGCGCGCGCTGACAGTATAGATACCCTTGTGCCCTAAGTCGTCATGCGCCTCCTTGAGAACGTGATAGCGCTTGTTTGGAGGTAACACAAGTTGATGTTTGCCGTGCGATGCTCTGCGCCATAGGTTGCCTTCCAGAACGAAATAACGCGCTGCGTTGTTCACGAACTTCTCGAATTCTTCATCTGAAACATCAGTGGGTCTTTCGCGCGTGGTAAGAAACTGTTCTATAGTGGTCATCAGCGCGTCTTGCGCGCGCGCCGCGTCCGAGCGTGGGATATCTGGTTCTGGTTCTTCCGTCTGCGCGACATCAAAGTATACGCGCAATGCTGGTATGCGCGCGCTCTGTGAGATGAAACATGTGCGATGCGCTTCGTGGCGTATGTCACCCGAACCACCAGCTATACGATGCGTGCGATCGTTCAAAAGCGCGATAGCGAACAAGTATGCGCGATCAATCCAATCCTCATGATTATCATCCTCTATGGGGTCTTCCTCGGCGACTGGTCTCCTTGAGAGACCATCAACGCCTTTATGCTTTTGCGCGGATACATGAACGAGTTTGAATGAAAATAAAAGGATACCCGCGATCCATCGGTTGATGGTCGCGTTAGGCTGCAAGTCCGGATTATTGATCATACCTTTGATATACTTCGCGTCTACCCACCGTCAGATTCTTCACCCCAAAGATGTATACGCGCAACGCACAGAAGAGTCCGAAGAGTTCTAGCTTCGCTTGAGAGTAGCGCCTTTCCACGTCGTTTAGCGCGATTGAGCCAAATCGATTTGGATAGCGCTTTCCGTCTTCGCCTATCTGCAGCAATATGAATCCAACAGCGATATTGGAAGTATCGACTGCTAGAATGACTTCGTGCTCGCTATCATAGTCGATGCGCCTTAGCGCAGGCGATTCTAGAATTGAGTCCTTGAGGGTCTGCATGGCTTGGCACTGTTCAGGGCCAAATATAAATGGCGCGTCTTTCCTGGTGAGGTTAACTAGTGGGCGCGCGATGTGTGAGAAATCGCGAATGAATATGTGCAGGACGCCGCAAGTTCCTAAAAAT